GCCTCTCACCTCCACCGGGATGTCCACGAGGCCGAACTGGCTGTTGAAGTCGGGTGAGGAGCCGAGCAGCAGGCCGACGATGGCCAGGAGGGACACGGCCAGACTCCACAGCAGGGGCCTGTTCTCGGGCAGGCTCTCCATGAAGGGCGGGCCCTGTGGGGACCGAGGCAATGGCTGCCTGCAGTGGCCCGGACCCGAGGGCGCGGGCAGGCGGGCACAGCTCAGGGGTGGGTGGCCTCACCTTGTAGTTGATGGCAAAGGTGGCCATCTGCATGGCCATGGCCATGATGTACACAGTGCTGTTGACCAGGCTGGGCTCAAACTCCTTGTAGAGGTCTACGAACTGCTCCTGCCTGTGGGACGTGCCGGCTGAGGTCCCTGCCGTGCTCACGCCCCTCCCTGCTTCTGTGCCCAGGCCCTACCACCCACCACTGCCCACGGGGGAGACACTCACTTCTCGGGACTGCGGGCCTGGGCCTCCTGGTACAGGTAGATGAGGCTCAGGAAGTGCACAGCGAACTGCAGCACCACGGTGAGGATGGTGTACAGGTTGAAGATGTTGGGCAGGGGCCGCTCTCGGGACAGGGTCTTTAGGGGCTGCAGTGGCAGGGCTGGGGTCAGGGCCCATTGGCCTCCAGCAGCGATGTCACCAAACCCCAGGAGCTGGGTGGGAGCTGCTGCCCTGGGCCCAGCGTCTACACTACTGTCTGTGGCAATGGGGCTTTGTTTTGTCTTCTTAGGAGGATGGAAACTCAGGCCTCAGAGTTACACAGGGTCTCACCAACTTGCCCAGGCTGGCCTGGAACTCTTGACCCTCCTGCCTCAGCCTCCTGAGTGTGCCTGTGGAACCACATGGTGTGGCGCGGGGGTCCTCAGCTGACCCCGAGGCCTCCCGTGACCGCTTTGCCGTCTCACGGCACCGCACGCCCTGAGTGCTCTTGGGATCACTTCGCATCTGTCTCCTCCTCGCCTGCAGGGCTCCGGGAGGCTGTCCTGACCGGGCGCCCGCATCTGAGCTCGGCCCTACCTGTCACTGGACAACAGCTCCCCCCCCAGACCACACGAGGCAGGCCGTGCCGCTGGGCGCCCACCTTGGAGCGGGAGATGAAGAGGAAGCAGCCGGCCAGCAGCAGCCCCTGCAGTGTGGCCTGGAAGTCGCTGAACTTGACGCCCTCCAGGTAGAGGACGCTCTGGCTGTAGGCCAGGATGAGGGCGTTGAGCGCCAGGATCTTGAACATCTGCAGTGTGGTCACCAGCGTGCAGCGACCTTGCTTGATCACGTGGCAGACTGGGGCGACAGGGGGCAGTGAGCAAGGGGCCGTGGGGTGTGGGGCGCATGCAGTGTGGCCTGGAAGTCGCTGAACTTGACGCCCTCCAGGTAGAGGACGCTCTGGCTGTAGGCCAGGATGAGGGCGTTGAGCGCCAGGATCTTGAACATCTGCAGTGTGGTCACCAGCGTGCAGCGACCTTGCTTGATCACGTGGCAGACTGGGGCGACAGGGGGCAGTGAGCAAGGGGCCGTGGGGTGTGGGGCGCACAGGCGG